TGATTAAACCACGTAAAATCTTTCTGTGTAGTTCTTTTTGCTTTTCAATCAAAACAAACCCATCATTGTCTCTATATGAATTTGCACAGTCAAACTGCAACTGGAAACCTTTAAAATTATTTTAAAAAACGTTCACGACATCAAAGAAAATACGTGCTGCTATTTTACTGATCTTTGAGTCCAATTGTATTACCACCTGGCTGAAATGGATGGATGAAAGAAGTGATCTCAAAATATTGAATAGGAATTTTTCTCCAGCTACTACTTAGCTTTTGCTACTGTTAAACACCTCACAGAGCATGCTTTGCAAGCAGACACCAAGCAGAACCATTAAAAGACACCACTTTTCACTGCAAGGCCAGGTCTGAAAAAGGGGAACAATAAACAAGAACTTCATATTGTTACACCACCTTTCAGTGGAAGGCCAGGTCTGAAAAGGGGGAACAATAAACAAGAACTTCATATTGTTTTTTATTTCTCTTCAGTATGTAATAGCTATGCTGGGATCTTTTCTTAAGAGAAATTATTCAAAACTAGCGCTACTGTGTAATGCTCTCCTAGTGTAATTACACAGGAGAAGGAATTCAAACCAATAAATCTGGTAAGTCTCCAAGCACCATTTCTGCAGATAGCCTTAGGAAGAGGCATTGACTGTAGTTTGTGGATATATATTTAGCAGTTTTAGTCAGATTTCTGTGGCAGGAAATGAAACTCTTCTGGATAGATGCTTTAGCCTAAAAAGTAGACTATCTTACAATGTTTCTATAGGAGATGGATCTAGAGTGAAGTTGATTTATACATTCTACATTATACATAAAAGTTATTAGCTATACAAATAACATATATGTGTATGTTTAGGAAAAGAAAGGGAACAAATACTTAAGAAAAGTAACAAGCAGTACGATGCAGGCAAGAAGTCAAATAATAATTTTAACCCAGAGAAGATCACTGGTCTATGGAGGTTAATATCCCATCTTCAGAATGTTTAAAACGTTGAACAGTCTAGTAACTGCACCTGCTCAAAACTTTTACATTATACAGGATCAAAATCTGTGATCAGTCTCTTTGAAATTTCACCAATAGCTACCAATGAAACACCTGTGTAATTTACTTCAAATAATTAATCACCTCAGGTATCTTTTAATGCTTTAGGACTTCCATTCTCAAAACAATTCAGTGCTCATTTTAACTGCATGACTTGCTACTTACTGATAAAAAGAACTACTACGTATTTTCCTGACCAGATTTACATTTACTTAAAAAAACTTTTACAAGGGAAAAACACCTAAAAAAGATTCAGTGCTGACCCAATCCCCCAATCCTCTCACTTTTTTTTTTTTTATTTTTTAACATTCAAACTGAGCTCAAATGCTAACTTAAGAAATTTAGCTTCACTGGAACTTAAAAGAAAATACTGCATAAATCTTTATCCTCCAGAAATATCCACTAGGGATGATCCCACTATAAAACAAACAAAAACCCCTACCCCATTTAGTAACTCCTCCAAAAAGGACAGGTATCTTTTCAGGTTACTTCAGTGGCTTTTCAACTAAAACAGTTTGAGTTGGCTTACCAACCTCCTTTACAATGGCAACTTGGCACAGACTCTGCTACCTCAAGTTACCAGAAAGCCGAGTTCCATGGTTATACGTATTGCCTTTGAACAGCATTCACGTAACATTTCAAGGAAAATGAGATTCAGAAAAATTTTTTAATTGATAGTGCATAAAGAATGCATTTCTTTTTTGTACATACAAAGGCACTCAGTGATTGTCCAAGAAAAAAAGATCATAACAAACAGTATGTCCAGTTAAACTGACCTTTCGGAGTCTTCTAGTTTTTCTTAATTCCCCATTGTTCTTATTCTTTTGTTCATTAAAAACTTTGCAAGAGTCATCAGTAACATGACACTCTGAAATTTCATTTTCATCACCTAGAAACCAAATTTAGAAACTTGAAATGAAAAATGCAGTCTTGTGAAATGAAACTGCCACCAATTATTTTATCATAGCACATAGAGCTATGTACAATTAAGATATCTAAGTTAATAATTTGTACCAGTTATTTTTATATTGTATTTCAGTTACAGAAAAAAGAATGACAGTCAAGCATATAACTTCAGGATCTGATCTTGTAAATAAACTAGTCATAAAACTCCCAATTTCCAAAATTTTGAAAACTATATATCAACTACAAGTAATGAATCAGCTAAATTGCTTTCCATTTATTACAAAATTTGCAATTTCTCTGAATATAGAGATAGTTGAGAGTGTGAAGCAGTGGGGGCTAGTTTTTTCCTTTCTGATTGAAATGTTAACATTTTCAGTACACACTGTGTTTACCTGAAATGACCTGAAGGTCTGAAACATCTTTTCAAACACTTTGCAAGTAAATCTAGCAAGCTGTTAGCAGGCAAGGATCACGTGCGCATGTAGGCATATCAGTCCTATTATTTATAAAAAGGCACCATCCATAAGAAAGAATGTACTCTAATGCAGCTGCCAAAAAGCATTATATTTCATCACATATTTTGTGAATTAATATATATTTAATTCTTCAACACTGTCAGGATTACTTTTCTAAGCACTAAATAAACTTTTGAATCATTCGAGAAATTAGCTTGCTTGCATAAGCTAAAAAGCGTTGATCAATGAAGTTTTAATAACTGAAGATTTAGGTAGATCATTTTTCCCAAATTTAGTTCAATGGAGTCTACTTTAGGACATTTGTTAATTTTTCATTTCACAGAAATGCATGAGACCAGCTAAAGAAAGTTTAATAATTCGTGATTAAAGTGGTCTACATTCAGCTCCTCCCAAATAAGCTGCTTCTGATTACTTTTGGAAAATACTGAAGGGTACTATCCATATTTACTAGTCTGACTGCATATATAACTAAAAATAATTTGGTTTTCCTCTGTCAGCTACTTAAACTCTTAATCCTTGAGGTTACAGAACAACAAATTAAAACACAATGACAAACATTTTCCATTACTGATTACTTATTTTAAAATTATAACCTTTAAACTAGTCAAAATTTAATCACTTCTTCACACTAAAGTTGCAAGTTTCACATGAATTTATACAATATTGCAGTAATTTTTGTGTAATACAAGTAAACTTGGCTTTCAGGTACAATTGTTAATTTAAACTCAGTATTTAAATACAAAGTGTAATTTAACAAAGGGAGAACTAATTGCTTAACTATGTTAATTTTATTTAGTATTGCACTGAGGCTCATCATCAATCACTGAGCAAGACTGATGGCAAGTAGAAGAGGAGAAAAGATCTTGCCACACAATAAAAAAAGCTACAGGGGACAATGTCCATCACCTCTGATTGTCAGACTTGGGGATCTTATGCATTACAGAAATAAGGACTATTCTTTGTAAGCCAGTTCCTACTTCTCTCCTGACTATCAGGACTTCTCAAGCACTTCCCACTCTGTAGGTCTCAAGCTTCACTGTCCATTGTCTGTTTTTCCTCCAATTGCTTGTTTTTAAAGCAGTTGTTCACTCACAAGTAAGGACTTTTCATCTTTAGTTGCTTTTCCTAGGGTATTTCAGATAAAGTTGACACATTTTTTGAAGCAATTCCATCCACTGTTAGTTACTCCTAAATAGTTCAAATAGGCAGGTAACTCATGCCACTGTGGTCCATTAGATCCACTAAATTCTCTTCTAAAACATTGCTCAATGACAACTCTGATAGCCCTCTGAAGTATTGTAACAAATTAGAGTGACTTTAATTTGCAATTTAAGCTTCTACTCATTCATGATCATTTATCACCAGTGAGTAGTTTTGAACCAGAATATTATCTTCAAAATTCCATTCGATATTTCCTTCGAGTTAAAAAGCAAAGTAATGATCAGGCACAATAAGCTAGTTTTGTTCAATCAAATCAATCATGTCTATCTAATAAAAATTTTATCTGCAGTATAGTGTTCTACTTTAAAAATATCATAATGAAGTGTCACTGAAATTAAGCTATATCATATCTACTATTTTGTACTTATCCACAGAGTTATCGACCTCAACTATGAAGCAAGTCTGAATTTGTCATAATCAGTAATCCTTCAGGTACATATGCACAGAATATTTAATAACTTGTGATGTTATTATTATTGTAGTGATTACTTCAGCGTGGGCAAATACCAAGTTCTTGCTATTCAGAACACAATTTCTTCAAGTCTTCTGAAAGCTTACATGCCCACCAGGTTCTCAAAGAGAACCTGTTAATGGTTTAGAACAATTTTATCTAGCTTGTTATGCACTCTAGGACAAGTTTCATCAGGCTTTGTAAATTTGACTTCATCAAAATAATCCTCAACCTGTTCCTCCAGTCAGAAATATTTGTCCTTTTTTGTTTTAATAATTAGTTACAATTAAACTTTTTGTAAAGATAAATAAAAAGGAATCAAGGAAGAAATGGTTTTCTTCTTCATCCTTCATTTGTTTTTTAAAAGGATGTAATAAAATGCCAATAGAGGACACCATACAATACTTTTAGCGAGGTTGTCTTCTTGCAAAACTGAAGAAAAAAAAAAAGGGCACAGCAAATCTAAGGAAATTCTCATGTGTGTTTTTAAAGACTTAAACAGTATTTTAGCAGCATTAAGTACCTAGCACCTAGAACCTCAGGTAAAACTCAGTCATCTAAATTAAACTTAATAATTTTTGCACCAAACAACACAATAATATTCCACATTCCCCATCTTAACATTGATCTACATTAATTACACTATAATGGGTCTCACTTTTTGTCTTTTGGCCACTAAGATAATATTTGCCTCCCAAATTCACCATAAATATCTAAAATTCACTCAGCTAAGCCTTAAGTTTCTTTTTAAGACTGGAAACAATGCTAAGTTTGAGTTCAAATTTCTAAATTATTTCAGGATGATAAAAGCTTAAAAGAGCATACTCTTGCATTCCTTGCCCAATATTATTTATTGTTGTAGCTTTCATATGAAAAGTCATAGGAATTCATCAACTCTGAGCAAGTATTGGCATTCTGAAGCATGTGGTTCAAGTGCCAGCTTACCCTACCATCAGCCCTATTAAAAACGTTATAAGCAGATGGACTGGATTTTGAAGTAAAGCAATTTACAACACGAATGACAAAGAAGTTCTTAGAGTCTCTTAGTAATACAGAACATTAACTTTCACAAAAGACAATATTATTGCATTTCCATAAACTTATATTCATGATAGAGAAAAGCCAACATTTTCCTTACTTTGTAAGTGCTAAAAACGTAGGCATTGACAGACAAACCCCAGTTATACAGCACTTATTGATTACAGAGCACTGAAATTTATCAGCTATGGCTGGTTTGATATCAGAAGGATAGAAAATTTATTTCATCTCCAGAAGCAAAGCTGAGAAAGAAAAAGTGAATCTGAATAGGAAAGCATCTTTTAATATTCTTATAATGCCTAATTAATTTCAACTCTTGCATCTGTGACAGTTGTCTACTTGATTTATGACTTAAGATGAAAATAAACAGCCATGTTTATGCCTGTGCTGTTCAGCAGAACAACTGGGCAGCCTTGACTGCACCCTACAAAGGAACTTGAAGTTTGCTACAACAAAAGCATTAGGACTTGAAAAGTTAGTTTAAGATTAGGCTGCATATTACAATTCTAGTTTAAAATCAAATGTTCCAAGTAGTCTGTGGAAAGAAAGCTTATCAAATCTTACTTCTTGTCATTAAAGACATTGGGTAAGAGAGCCACTGACCTAAAAATCATAAGGAAAAAAAATGGGCAAGAAAAATGTTTAATATTTTAAATATATACAGCTATATTTTATAAAAAGATATATTATATAAAATGTATATATTTACAGATATAAATTTTATATGGATATTTGATTACTCACAACTGTATATACATGAGTGAAAAGAATCCTTTAGCTTTTAAAAATAACATACTGTATTTATCAGTTTTCACATCACGTACAACATACAGAAAAACAAAGCAATTTACTGTTTACTAATTAACATAGACAAGAAATAACTTACATTCAAGAAAAAAAGGAAATATTAAATGTATATTTAATAAAAATCAATTATTCCATCATACAGTATCACAGTACTAAGTTTTAAACAAGATTTTCATTCTCTTCGACAGAACTTGCATTATTAGGGAAAATACAACTCATCTTTCATTATTGATTCCTTCCATTTTTAAGTACACTCGTTTGAGCTGTCAAACTTGAGGTTCTAACGTGACTATACAACAGATGTATGAAGCTTGGGAAAATGGCCATTGCTGATAAGTCACAAATACTATTAAAATTTCTAGAAACACAAATTGAGACTTACAGATGTTCCTAACAAGAAGGATAAAAAGTATACGGTTCCTTTTTCCTCTCCTCCAAAATCTGTTACCTTAAACAAGTTGTCCAGCGAGAAAATAAAAGCATAACATGCTAGACCATTGATCATAATTTAATCACTAGAATTTAAAAGTTAGAATTAACTCTAAAATTAACTGGCATTCCTAAGTTTAAAAGTAGTAAACGTTTTTTCCTTCCCCATTTGTTTTCATGATTGTTTAATAAAAAACAGACTGTTCTTTGACATTAAGGACTACATAATTTAAGGATCATCTTCTAGTATATTGCTACATGGCAAAAACTGCATACAGTGGGTTCACACATTTGTGGGTGTACATTTATACTTGTAGAACATACGCCTGCATCAACTTTTTTTTTAACTGTGTTATAATGACACACCTTCAAGTATTAAAATACAGATGTAGTGAACCCAAAAATAGCAGCTCACAGTTCAGCAACTTACTACCCACAGATATAGGTACAGTCACCGTTCAACATTTCCACTGGATGATTTCATAAATACAAGCTTGATACAAGTTTGTTGAACCCTTTAAGTTAGTAATTAATTTTATATGATTCATTGATGCACTGCTGCAGAATTTTCTAGGGAAAACAAATGATTAAAATACACAATTATGATTACAAATATTTAACCCTATGTAAAGTTTGACAAACAGAGCTCAAAATATAAAAATCTGAAAATTATTACCCCAATGCATGTTAAAAGCATTTTCCAGGGAAGTTCTTGAGATTCAATATTCTAGTATACATTTACATTGAAATAACTTAGGTTAAACCCATTTGAAAATGCTCAAATATAAAAAATACTCTTAAAATTATTATTAAAAACTAAGATCAGTTCCATATAAAAAAGCCATGGTTGAAAGAGACACTTACATCGCAACTCTTGCACATGCCCTCAAATGTCTTATTCAATCTTCATCGTAGCACAAGTTAGAAATTGCTAACTCCAGTATTTTTTTTCCAATACAGATTCTATGCCCTTAACTGAAATTAACCTATAGCAATTTTAACTTCTGAAATAAAAATAATTTGAACAAGGGACCCTACGATGAGGAGTTACTTATAAACAACTTACAAGAGCACTGTAACATTTAAAACAGAAAGACTTTGGTTTCTTAAACTGATTTTCAATAGCAGCAGAAAGTGTACAGAATACCAAGCATTAGGGGAAAAGAAGGCTCACATTACTTTTGTTGCATTTTGTGAGCACAGTTTCCTTATCTCTTGGTGACCTCTTTGTGTTTGTAACGTACGGGAAAACAAATGGATGTTCTTTTGGATCCTATGCACTCATTTAGTTTACTCAAAAATAAAGTCAGTACTGCAACATTTTCTTCTTTTGGTGTAATTCTGAAATGTTTTTCCCTTTGGAATGGCAGTTCATTTTGCAATTTAGTTGCATGAGTATATTTAATGCAGTACGGTATCTTTTCATTTTCCAGCTCTATGTAGCAACTTACCAGTACTATGAGTATAGTGATTCACATAGGTTCTGCAGGATTTTTCATGAGCATGCTGAGGCAGCCTGTTCACATCATCAGAATCTAGAGCTTCTGCAGTGTCAGCTTTTTCACCATCTGACATATAGTTTAATGGCGCACTTCCAGGATGTTCAGCTGGTTTGAAGTTTTTCTTTACTGAAACATCATTTGCTAGAATAGGTCTTTTCCTACTTTTCTTGGTAGTAGTACGTGGCTTACAAAAACTCACATCAAGCAAGTCCATGTTTGTAGAAGCGCCTTTGCAACAAACTTCAGGATTCTGTGATTCCTTTGGTACTTGTACCTGTACTTCATTTTCATTCAAATTAGATGAAAAGAAGTCTTCATAAGAATCCTCTTCAGCGCAAAAAGACTTGCTATATGAAGTAATTGCTTGCAAGAACTCTTTAGACCCTGCTGCACCCAGTTCTGAGGTAGCCAGTTTCAAACTAGGTAGTGTTTGTAGTTTCCTTCTCTTCTTGTCTTCAGGAATACAATCGTTTCTGTCAACAGGGAAGCTTCTATCCAATGAACATGTATTTAAGTCTTCACTATTCACAGGTGAATTAGAAACACCACCAATGAAAGCAGGAACAGTATTTAACTTGACTGTCTTTTTGGAAGGAGTAACATGACCCAAGTCCTTGATTTGGAGAAGAGAACTTTCATTTGCAACTGAAGTAGTCATGCTATTTTCATCCTTCTGATTTTTCTCTGGAAACTTTTTTGGATCTTTCTTTTTTAAAGACAATTTATCATCCAAAGCGTTCTGCAAAATCTGTTTTTTTCTTAAGCTTCTTCTGCTATGTTGTTTTGGTGTTAAGTTCTTCTGCTCATAGCTATGTGAGGGAGAATTCACTGATGCACTAGTGGATACATAAATATCAGTCCAAGTATCACAAGTGTGTTTTACTACGTCTGTTTTCTGTCTCTTTAATTTATCAGTTCCCCAAAGACAACTTGAGTTCAAGCAGTTCTCCGTTTGTTCTCCTGCAAAATATGAAAAGTGGCAATACAAATGTATTTAACAAAACAGAGAGAGTACCAATTTCTTAGTATAATATATATGCAATTACTGAAAGAAGAAAACAAGGATTCAGCCACTTCTCTGGATATCATATGGCAAGTCACCAAAAACTGCTCAAGTGGCCCTCATTACGAATTCTAAAGACTGTCTTCTCACTTTTCTTCTGAGACCAAACACCAGCATCTGACTTCAGCTTTCTGCTCACATGACTGACAGAAGACATGAGGTCTGAAGTACATACCCATTGCATACATGATTAATGCTGTTAAGATGCCCACTGACATAGCTCAACAGCCTTCACAATAATCTTCTGCCTGATGTCCTGCTACTATGCCAAAACACAGGAACAAACCCCTAACTTTATGAGAATAAGAACCTTGATAAACTACTTGAATTCATCTGCAACCATAAAACATTTTTAAAAGCTGATTTATTTTTACTTGTTATTTCTTCAATCCCTGAATACTTAAGCTGGAAAACACATTAGGTTTCCTTTTAAATTCAAGTTTTTTGATTGAAAATTCAGAAGACATTACAGTTCTCTGAGGTGTCTCTCTCATTCAGTTTTTTTTGGTTCCCACATCACACTGTTCAGTGTACACTCTGTATTCTATACCAGATCACTGTAAGAGCAGAGAAGACTGACACCATGCCAGGACAAGAATCCATGGGGAATGGTGTGAGGAAAGAGGAGGAAGTGAGGCAAGCATCAAAGCAGTAAGACAGAGTATTTACCCAATGTGATTCCTCATACTCCATTTCCCTTGAATTCTTACTTCTACGTACTTTGCCAGTTAAGTAAGACTAAAATAATTCAGCTTTAAACATAAAATGAGAGAGCAAATATATACACTTTCCATTTCGGTACACTGTACTTTCCAAATTAAGATATACAGGCCATGTATTACTTTTAATTTCTGTAATATATGAAGTTGTGTTGGTTACCTGGTAACAATGCACCTTCTGAATTAGTTAAGACACAAGTAGACAGCAGGCAGTCTCCTGGTGAATTACTTGGAGATACTTGAGACATTTGTGAACCTAGGAATTTGTAAATAATAAACTAGTTAGCTGTGTTTGCACACATACAGATTTCCATACCATCTATTCATATTTCAAAACAGCTCAATTGTAAGAGACAACTCATTGCCTTGCCAACTAACTATAAGCATATAAATAATTGTGGACCACTCAACAGTACCTCAAATTACATACAAATAAAAATGCTATTAGATATTAAGCACATTTTTTTCTAGATAACTCAGCACCACATTTTTCCAAAACTAAAGAATGATGGCAAACCATTTGGAAAATATTATAGACCTTTCCAAGCCAGTTGCAGTATTTTACTAAAGAATCTGTCAAAATCTGCAATTAGCAGCAAAGCTTTGATATAGCAGAAATGCTTTTCAAAACATTTGAAGGTATTACCTTAAAACTCAAAGAAAAAGCAAACACAAGCCATGCTTAAATAAATGACATTTAATTTTTCATCCATGTATCACTGGTTCTTTACTTGCCTCCCACAATTATTTTTGAAATTATAAACTGACAGTCTAGTTGATATAGACTTCTTAAAACTTCAAATACTATAGATTCCCTTCCCTCAAAAAAGATGTTCCACATTTCAGCAGTTTTTATAATAACAACCTGACAAAACCTAATGACTTAGACCTCAATACTTTCAGAGTAAGGTAACGCAAACACTAAAATATTATTTGAAAACTGCAATCTAGATTTAATTCACCAGGATCTGCATTTTGAAATCAACTAGATTTAGTCAATTAGGTCATTAAAATTATTTTTTTAAAGCCTGTTCTTCAGTACCTGGAGAGATGTCTCACCAATTTTGGACTCCCTTTTAAACTGCTGGCCTGGGAGTAATAACATTACAACCTTTGTCAAGTACAGCATTCACATTAAAATTTATCAGGAAGTAAGATTCAGAGTCTCGCTGTAAAGTTTAACTAAGTTGTGACAATATCAATTCACAAGTTTAGAAAGTCTAGCTTAAACATTAGTCCTCTTGAGCAGTCTAGTGATTAAGAAATTCCTTTTTGGAATCGTTGTCTTCCATGACTTCTTGTGCCCTTCAACAGAAAGAAACTAAATACTAACGCATTTGCACCTTCTCGAAACCTGGGAAGAAAGGAGGACATGAAATCAAGTAAGATACGAAAAAAATTCTGAAGGCCAGAGCAAGACAAGTGTGCCAAAAATTCAGCAATAAAAATGGTAGCCATTTGTGCACGTTCATGGATAAGTAAAATTTAGCTTCTTACCAGTAAGAGAAAGATTTTCTCTTTTTTCCTTCATCTCCTTTATTCTTCTTTCCATTGTACTGCATTGATCTTTTATCTTATTAACAGGGCTGTATATAAGTGAACCATTGTCTTCAAACAGTAAAACTGGTACATCAGTTTCTACACAAAGAAATTGCATTTGTACATTAATGTTACATGCTGTAACAGCTTCAGATGAAGTTTCTTTTTTTTGTTTGTTTTGAAAAAAACTTGAAAAAATTAGGTTCCTTATACCTAACATCACTACAGATGCCTTAATACCACAAACTTGCAAAGAACTCTGTAAAAAGTAAGTCAACTTTATTTCTCATGGCATAAAGGTAAAAAAACCCAAACAAACAAAAAACCAAAACAAAAACCAAAACCCATCAAGCATTTTAAAGAAATAAGAGATATTTGAATCTTAGTCTAAAGTAGTTCTTACCAGCATTAATTGCTATCTTTTGGACAGCTAATTCTTTAGTCAGCTGCTCCAGCCTTCTCTGCAGTTTTCTATTATTTTTTGGAGTTTTTTCAACAAAGTCTGTTGGCTGCATACATTTATGCTGCAAGACACATAAAATTATTAATTATACGGTATAAAACTGGCAGAAGTAACTACACATCCTATTTGCCTACCATTTTATCATGGTATTTACTATCAGTGTTTAACTCTATGCTACTTATCACCTCCTCGAGAGTCACAGAGAATTGTAGAAGTTAACATTTTCCAAAGTGAACTTTAATAGGAAATAAGAAAGAATCTTACAGATTTTTTTAGGTTAGATTTTAGTAAAAAGGAGACTAAGTCACCACCTTTTCTTTTTTGCTTGTAGTAAAGCTAAGGCTTGAAAGATTTTTTTATTTTTTTTTTTTAAATACCAGGATTGTAGGTTTTGTCACAACCCAGTGAAACATAAGCCACATGGCAGTCATGGGTTTTTGATTAGTCATTATGTCATTTTAAATTAAATATTCTTTTCTTTGTTCACCAATATAAAAACTCTATTTTTATTACCCTTTCTTCAGATAAGATGCCACATCGTCACAGCCATAGCCTACCTTTAAAAACCTACTCAGATGGATAGGTAGAGTTTACAGAATGTTCCGAAAGTAAACAGTTCAAATGTCTAAGGTCAAGAAGTCAAGTTCAAACTTTAAAGTTTACTATTCTAGGCCTATTTAAAAAATAAATAAATCACATACTCACTTTTTTGATCAGTAGTGGTGATCCTTCATTAGTGTCTACTGGAGGAAATAAGGATTCATCAACATGTACTCCAGTTTTTCGACATCTGTATAAGAAATCAGAGCAAGTTTGATGTTTTGTTTTGTTTGTTTTAAGAATGAGAACATTTATTGCAAAAAGAGTTGTCCAAGTCCTGCAATATTGAAACACCAAGCCTTCCTAAGTGTGTACCTTTAGCATAACTACTGTAATGCTAAAAAAAATTTAAAAAATCTAGGACACGATACAATTTTTTTGTCCTAATAATGCCCTCTAAATTGCTGTTCTGAAACTCAAAGTTTCCCACTCATATGTTATTTTCCACTCATTTAAAAATCATTGTATTAAGTTTAGAGAGTGTCATGGCCAAGGTGGGAGGAAATTATTCTCTTCAGGCAGATGAGGAAGGAGGCTTCATCTGATCCTGGCTTTTACATCTTACTCATTAGTCTCTGTTTTCTGCCTTCCCTTTGTATATGCAATGCTAAAACCAGCCCCTTATTGAGGAGCAATCTATATTTATGTGAACTTTTTTTTTAATTACAAACCCAAAAATCCAACCGATACCCTTTCCCTAGTTTTCCCTGTCTTTTCATTTCCAAGACTGACTTGAGAACAGTGGGAGTCATGTTATCTTGAAATAGGATACAATCTACTGCATTGGCAAACACTAAAGATGATGTTGAGACAAGAATTTGGTTATTAATGCATAAATTAAAGTTCTTTTGATCAGAATAGGTAAATACGGTTTTATTCTCAAACAATATATAATAAAAACAATTATAGGAAAGAGTATGGAACCTTAATAGACCACACTAGCGTGCCCTCAGAAGTCATCCAATGCTGTGATTCTAGTGACACCTAGTGATCTAACTGCTATAGAGTTTGTAGCTGTAGAATTACAATCTAATGCTTACTTACTCAGTTTTGAATAAAGAGCCCAACCACTACATGTATGTGTCAAACTAACTGAGTTCAGAGTTCTCTGAAGCATCAAATAGAGATGATATTCAACATGCTGGACTTCAGGTGCTGTTATTAAATTCTGGATAATATCAGCATAGATGTAGACTACATTACAATTTACATTAATTCAGCGATTTCATTGTGTCACCGTTGAAGGCTGGGCCGGCGCTCACAGCGGGCGGCAGAGGCTCTCTGCTAACCCCGGCCCTTCCCTGAGGGGCACGGAGAGGAGAGAA